CTCTTTGGAACCCCCTTTCAGGTAGTTGAAAGCAGCTATCAAATCCCCCCCTCATTCTTCTCTTCCGCAGACTAAACAATCCCAGTTCCTTCAGCCTCTCCTCATAAGTCATGTGCCCAAGCCCCCTGATCATTTTTGTTGCCCTCCGCTGGACTCTTTCCAATTTTTTCACATCCTTCGCGTAGTGTGGGGCCCAAAACTGGACACAGTACTCCAGATGAGGCCTCACCAATGTTGAATAGAAGGAAACAATCACATCCCTCGATCTGCTGGCAAGGCCACTAGTTATACATCCCAAACTGCCATTAGCCTTCTTGGCAACAAGAGCACACTGTTGACTAATATCCAGCTTCTCGTCCACTGTAACCCCTAGGTCCTTTTCTGCAGAACTGCTGCCAAGCCATTTGGTCCCTAGTCTGTAGCGGTGCATTGGATTCTTCCGTCCTAAGTGCAGGACTCTGCACTTGTCCTTGTTGAACCTCATCAGATTTCTTATGGCCCAATCCTCTAATTTGTCTAGGGCCCTCTGTATCCTATCCCTACCCTCCAGTGTATCTACCACTCCTCCCAGTTTAGGGTCATCTGCAAACTTGCTGAGAGTGCAATCCACACCATCCTCCAGATCATTAAGGAAGATATTGAACAAAACCAGCCCCAGGACCGACCCTTGGGGCACTCCACTTGATACTGGCTGCCAACTAGACATGGAGCCATTGATCACTACCTATTGAGCCCGATGATTTAGCCAGCTTTTTCTATCCACCTTATAGCCCATTCATCCAGCCCATATTTCTTTAACTTACTGGCAAAAATACTGTGGGAGACCGTGTCAAAAGCTTTGCTAAAGTCAAGGAATAACACGTCCACTACTTCCCCCTCGTCCACAGAGCCAGTTATCTCTTCATAGAAGGCAATTAGATTAGTCAGGCATGACTTGCCCTTGGTGAATCCATGCTGACTGTTCCTGGTCACTTTCCTCTCTTCTAAGTGCTTCAGAATTGATGCCTTGAGGACCTGCTCCATGATTTTTCCAGGAACTGAGGCGAGGCTGACTGGCCTGTAGTTCCCAGGATCCTCCTTCTTCCCTTTTTTAAAGATGGGCACTACATTAGCCTTTTTCCAGTCGTCCAGGACTTCCCCCGATCGCCACGAGTTTTCAAAGATAATGGCCAATGGCTCTGCAATCACATCCGCCAACTCCTTTAGCACTCTCGGATGCAGCGCATCCGGCCCCCTGAACTTGTGCTCGTCCAGCTTTTCTAAATAGTCCTGAACCACTTCTTTCTCCACAGAGGGCTGGCCACCTCCTCCCCATGCTTTGCTGCCCAGTTCAACTGCATAGCATATTTTCCCATTTTTCACGTAAATTACAGTGAGTTGTTGTTTTTCCCCAAATTTTCACCTGTGACTATATTTTGTAATTCTCCATCTATAAAATTGTGTCTTAGCCAACATGAAACCAACTGTCCAGATCTTGGAGGACATCTGAAAAAAATAACCTGAAATACACATAAAAGTGCTCCACAAGTAAGCTGCAGTACTGCAGGATTTCCCAGGGCTGAGTCAATGTTGTCACATGCTGAGGGGCAATTAATGATTTACAAATCCCAATTGAGGGTCACAGGATATGAGACCTCAAACTTGTCACTGCTTGAAGACTGGATATTACCTATGCTGGGATTCTGGCCAGCATCATTTGGGGAAGAAAGTAACATTTCCAAGGCAGGATTTTATTTTATTTATTTATTTGAGATCATGAAACTTGCAATCTTGTTTGTCAATTTCTCTCAGTTTTCCCATGTTCTCCTCACAGCATACTGTGCTGACAGTGGTGTGACCTCGCCAAGGTGTTTGTAAGGTGCTCACCTATAACAGAAAAGCCTCTGTTTTCCCAGAGCTGCGACGTTTTCATCCAAGTGAGCAACATTAGTTCCTCTACCCCAACATTTTATTTTAATGGTAGGGCTTTTCTCAGGCATGCCTGGCCAGTAGGGAGACCCAAAGCATTTCCCAGGTACCATGGGGCAATCCCCTGCTTGGTAAAGGGTTGGGCACTGGAGCATCCAGAAAAAATCTGAGGAGTGGAGAAAGAAAGTGGGAAGGCTGTATCTGCTGCTGCGGGGCACAAGGAGAGATGGTGGGGCCCTGCTCTCATTGCTAGCTGTACCTCAGGGGGAGCGAGAGGCCTCAGGAACTCTGAACCTTTTGCTTTAATAGATTCATAGAGTTTCATAGAGTTTAAGGCCAGAAGGGACCATTAGATCACCCAGTGCGACCTCCTGTATAACACATTACATTTCACCCAGTTACCCCTGTACTGATCCCAACAAGTTGTGTTTGACTAAAGCATGGCTTACGGAAAGACATCAAAACTTGATCTGAAGACACCCAGAGCTGGAGAATCCACCACTGGATGATTTAATTGGGGATTGGTCCTGCTTTGAGCAGGGGGTTGGACTAGATGACCTCCTGAGGTCCCTTCCAACCCTGATATTCTATGATTCTATGATTCTGCCCTTGGTAGTTTGTTCCAATGGTTAATCACCTTCATAAAAAAAAAGTCTTATATCTACTTTGAACTTTTCTGGTTTCAGCTTTCAGCCATTGCTTCTAACTGTGCCTTTCTCCATGCCATTTCAGAGCCCTTTAGTACCTGGTATTTTCTCCCCATGAAGATACTTGTAAACTGGAATCAAGTCACCTCTCAGTCTTCTTTTGTGATCAATTAAGAGATTGAAATCTTTATGTCTCTCACTGTGAGGTATTTTTCTCCAAACCTTGAATTATTTCTGAGGTTCTTTTCTGCACCCTCTCCAATATTTCAGTATCCTTTTTCAGACGTGGCACCCCAGAACTCGACTCAGTATTCCAGAATCAATCTCACCAATGCTGGATGGAGAAGAATAATCACTGCCTGTTACCCACTCACTACTACCCTGTTTATACATCCAAAGTTCGCATTGACCCTTCCTGCAGAGCATTGCCCTGGCAGTTCATCTTGGGGTGCCTTTCACTTCAAATATCAATTTTCTACACCTTATACCTGTAACTTATAAGTGACATTGATTGATATCTAATTTCCACTTTTCCACATGTTATATATTACTTTTTCATTTATAATTGCTGCCCCAACCAACATCACCACTGAACCAGGTTGGCCTTTCAGTTAAAGATGTCCTCTTTCTTGACTATGGACTCATGGATTTTTGGCCATCTCAAAAATTCTTCTTAAAGAACTCCCAACTGTCATCCATAGGTCTCTGAGTCATTTTTTTCTTCCAATCAGTTTCTTTCATAATTTCCCCCAGCTTTGGGAAATTATCCCTTTTCATGCACCCAGTGTATAAATTACTGGTTGGGACTGTCCTCTGCTTGTCCGTATTAGATATAATCAGGTCATGATCACTGGTTCACAGGCAACCCCATCCCATGATTAATTCATCTTTATCCATCATAGCGAGGTTCCAGATAGTTACTTCATGTTGAGTGCAGCCTTTGTGTTTGTCATAAATATAAAGGGAAGGGTAAACCCCTTTAAAATCCCTCCTGGCCAGAGGAAAAATCCTCTCACCTGTAAAGGGTTAAGAAGCTAAAGGTAACCTCGCCGGCACCTGACCAAAATGACCAATGAGGAGACAAGATACTTTCAAAAGCTGGGAGGAGGGAGAAAAACAAAGGGTCTGTGTCTGTCTGTATGCTGTTTTTGCCGGGGATAGACCAGGAATGGAGTCTTAGAACTTTAGTAAGTAATCTAGCTAGGTATGCGTTAGATTACGATTTCTTTAAATGGCTGAGAAGAGAACTGTGCTGAATAGAATGACTATTCCTGTCTGTGTGTCTTTTTTGTAACTTAAGGTTTGCCTAGAGGGATTCTCTATGTTTTGAATCTAATTACCCTGTAAGGTATCTACCATCCTGATTTTACAGAGGGGATTCTTTTCTTTTTACTTCTATTAAAAGTCTTATAAGAAAACTGAATGCGTTTTCATTGTTCTCAGATCCAAGGGTTTGGGTCTGTGGTCACCTATGCAAATTGGTGAGGATTTTTACCAAACCTTCCCCAGGAAGTGGGGTGCAAGGGTTGGGAGGATTTTGGGGGGAAAGACGTGTCCAAACTACGTTTCCCAGTAAACCCAGTTAGAGTTTGGTGGTGGCAGTGGAGATCCAGGGACAAAGGATAAAATTAATTTGTACCTTGGGGAAGTTTTAACCTAAGCTGGTGAAAGTAAACTTAGGAGGTTTTCATGTAGGTCCCCACATCTGTACCCTAGAGTTCAGAGTGGGGGAGGAACCTTGACAGTGTTAGAAAATCGTCATCCGTAATATTTAGAAATTCAAATGATATTTTACTGCTGGCTGCATGCAGTCTCTATCATATGTCTCCCAGATCGAAGTCCCCCCCCCCCCCAAAAAAAATAAAAAAATCCTTTCCACACTTTATAGAGAGGTGCTTAAAGAGTAATACATCCCATTCTCTAGTTTGATTTGATGGTCTTTAGCACATCCCTTACAGTACACCCTCCTGGACATTGTTAGTTAGAACATTGATCCATATGCATTCAAGATCCGGTGGGTTCTCAGTTACCAGTAACTATAAAACTGGCAATGGTGCCTTTAATATAGAGTGCCACCCCCCCTTTTACCCACTCTATCCTTCATGGACGGTTTATAAGTGGCAATTATAACAGTCCAAGCATGTGAATCCTCCCACCAGGTTTCTGTAATGCCGATTATATCAGATTTCTTCTCCTCGGTGAGAATTTCCAATTCCTCTCGCTTGTTTCCCAGACTCTCAGCACTAGTATAGAAGCAATTCAGAAGGTTCTTCACTTTACATCCTTTGTTACGTCAGATCAATTTGTTTATGACATGCTGAGTTGGAGTTTGTACCACATTGGCCTTTTTATCGTCTGTTCCTGGCATTGTTAGTTTAACGCTTTCCTGGCTGTTCCAGCTCATCTTCAATCAATGAGATTAGTTCTTCAATGAGATTAGCTCATAGTAGGAAGGTGATATGGAAGGGGGGGGTTCAGCTGTTGTGACCTGCACTGGATGTGCCATGTTTGTCTTTCTTCCACAGGACAGAAGCGACTTTGTCTGTACAAAGTGCAAGCTGGTCTCCATATTGCAAGAGAAGATTGAAGGTCTGGAGCAACAGATAACGACCCTGCGTTGCATACGGGAAACTGAGGATTTTCTGGACAAAACTCAGGATAGGCTTCTAGGGGCACAAAGCTCTACAGATACAGAGCAGGTTGCACAGAGGAGCCAAGAGGCCAGTGAAGAAGCTTGGCAACATGTGACCTCCAGAAGAGGTAAGTGGAATGTCCGGGTTCCAGTAACACAGACACAGGTAACTAACCGCTTTCATGTTCTCTCCACAGGTATCGTTGCGGAGAGCGGACCAGATGATATGTCTGGGGCGAGAAAGCAGAAGGAGACTCCGCTGGTTGGAAGGCATGAGATGCGCTGTCCTGAGGTTGGGAGTTCCACGACCACCACTCCCAAGAGGAGAAGGCGGGTGGTGGTGGTCGGGGACTCGCTCCTCCGGGGGACTGAGTCATCTATCTGCCGCCCTGACCGGGAAAACCGAGAAGTCTGCTGCTTGCCGGGGGCTAAGATTCGCGATGTGACGGAGAGACTGCCGAGACTCATCAAGCCCTCGGATCGCTACCCCTTCCTGCTTCTCCACGTGGGCACCAATGATACTGCCAAGAATGACCTTGAGCGGATCACTGCGGACTATGTGGCTCTAGGAAGAAGGATAAAGGAGTTGGAGGTGCAAGTGGTGTTCTCGTCCATCCTCCCCGTGGAAGGAAAAGGCCTAGGTAGGGACCGTCGAATCGTGGAAGTCAACGAATGGCTACGCAGGTGGTGTCGGAGAGAAGGCTTTGGATTCTTCGACCATGGGATGGTGTTCCAAGAAGGAGTGCTAGGCAAAGACGGGCTCCACTTAACGAAGAGAGGGAAGAGCATCTTCGCGAGCAGGCTGGCTAACCTAGTGAGGAGGGCTTTAAACTAGGTTCACCGGGGGAAGGAGACCAAAGCCCTGAGGTAAGTGGGAAAGCGGGATACCGGGAGGAAGCACAGGCAGGAATGTCTGTGAGGGGAGGGCTCCTGCCTCATACTGAGAATGAGGGGCGATCAGCAGGTTATCTCAAGTGCTTATATACGAATGCACAAAGCCTTGGAAACAAGCAGGGAGAACTGGAGGTCCTGGTGATGTCAAGGAATTATGATGTGATTGGAATAACAGAGACTTGGTGGGATAACTCACATGACTGGAGTACTGTCATGGATGGTTATAAACTGTTCAGGAAGGACAGGCAGGGCAGAAAAGGTGGGGGAGTAGCACTGTATGTAAGGGAGCAGTATGACTGCTCAGAGCTCGGTACGAAACTGCAGAAAAACCTGAGTGTCTCTGGATTAAGTTTAGAAGTGTGTGCAACAAGAGTGATGTAGTGGTGGGAGTCTGCTATAGACCACCAGACCAGGGGGATGAGGTAGATGAGGCTTTCTTCCGGCAGCTCACGGAAGCTACTGGATCGCATGCCCTGATTCTCATGGGTGACTTTAATTTTCCTGATATCTGCTGGGAGAGCAATACAGCGGTATAGACAATCCAGGAAGTTTTTGGAAACCGTAGGGGACAATTTCCTGGCGCAAGTGCTCGAGGAGCCAACTAGGGGGCGCTTTTCTTGACCTGCTGCTCACAAACCGGGTAGAATTAGTGGGGGAAGCAAAAGTGGATGGGAATCTGGGGGCAGTGACCATGAGTTGGTTGAGTTCAGGATCCTGACACAGGGAAGAAAGGTAAGCAGCACGATACGGACCCTGGACTTCAGGAAAGCAGACTTGACTCCCTCAGGGAACGGATGGCCAGGATCCCCTGGGGGACTAACTTGAAGGGGAAAGGAGTCCAGGAGAGCTGGCTGTATTTCAAGGAATCCCTGTTGAGGTTACAGGGACAAACCATCCCGATGAGTCGAAAGAATAGTAAATATGGCAGGCGACCAGCTTGGCTTAATGGTGAAATCTTAGCGGATCTTAAACATAAAAAAGAAGCTTACAAGAAGTGGAAGGTTGGACATATGACCAGGGAAGAGTATAAAAATATTGCTAGGGCATGTAGGAATGTTATCAGGAGGGCCAAATCGCACCTGGAGCTGCAGCTAGCCAGAGATGTCAAGAGTAACAAGAAGGGTTTCTTCAGGTATGTTGGCAACAAGAAGAAAGCCAAGGAATGTGTGGGCCCTTACTGAATGAGGGAGGCAAACTAGTGACAGAGGATGTGGAAAAAGCTAATGTACTCAATGCTTTTTTGCCTCTGTTTTCACTAACAAGGTCAGCTCCCAGACTGCTACGCTGGGCATCACAAAATGGGGAAGAGATGGCCAGCCCTCTGTGGAGATAGAGGTGGTTAGGGACTTTTTAGAAAAGCTGGACGTGCACAAGTCCATGGGGCGGACGAGTTGCACCGAGAGTGTGAAGGAACTGGGCTGTGATTGCAGAGCCATTGGCCATTATCTTTGAAAACTCGTGGCGAACCGGGGAAGTCCGGATGACTGGAAAAAGGCTAATGTAGTGCCAATCTTTAAAAAAAGGAAGAAGGAGGATCCTGGGAACTACAGGCCAGTCAGCCTCACTTCAGTCCCTGGAAAAATCATGGAGCAGGTCCTCAAAGAATCAATCCTGAAGACTTACATGAGAGGAAAGTGATCAGGAACAGCCAGCATGGATTCACCAAGGGAAGGTCATGCCTGACTAATCTAATCGCCTTCTATGATGAGTTTCTGGTTCTGTGGTGAAGGGAAGCCGTGGGTGTATTTTTTCTTTACTTTTCCAAACTTTTGTCTCCTCTCCCCCTTATTTTTTTTAGCAAGTTGAGGGGGGGGGGGGTGGTGGATGCCCCACCAGGGGGGGGAGCTGGCTCGTCGGTCTGGCCCCCCCGGGGGGGGTCGGCTCCCTCCCTCCTTGGCGGGCGGGCCCCGGTGGTGCGCCGCGCCCCCCGCGGGGGGCCCCGGGGGCGGGTTTTTTTCATTTTTTTTTAGGGGCTTGGGGGCGGGGTGGGGTTTCCCCTCACCTGCGGTTGGGGGGATACTCCTGGGGGGGGGGGGGGGGGCGGGGGGGGGGGGGGGGGGGGGGGGGGCCCAAATTGGAGGTGGCAGCTGTGGTTCAATAAGGATAAGTTTCTTCGACATTGGTGAGGCCTCATCTGGAGCCCGTCCCATTTTTGGGCCCAGACTTCAAGAAGGATGTGGTAAATTGGAGGAGAGAATTTTCCAACTGCAAAGGGGCTCCAAAGAGGATGGCTCTAGACTGTTCTCAATGGTAGGAGATGACAGAACGAGGAGTAATGGTCTCAAGTTACAGTGGGGGAGGTTTAGATTGGATATTAGGAAAAACTTTTTCACTAAGAGGGTAGTGAAACACTGGAATGCGTTACCTAGGGAGGTGGTAGAATCTCCTTCCTTAGAGGTTTTTAAGGTCAGGCTTGACAAAGCCCTGGCTGGGATGATTTAACTGGGAATTGGTCCTGCTTTGAGGAGGGGGTTGAATAGATTTCCGGCTTGGGCCCCTCCCCCCTTTTTTTCTTTTATTCTTTTATTTTTCTTATAGATAGAGGGGGGCCCCTTCCTGCATCCTCCTCCTTCTTTCTCTTAGTGTGTCTGCCAAACCAAAACCATCAGTTTCACACCAGCTTTGCAGCCATTGGGCATCAGTATTCTTTCCCTTCTCCCTTCCCTCAGCTGTGGGACTCAAAGGATCTCCCAGAATGCCACCTGGACTCTCTGCTTCTTCAGCTCCCTTCTAAGGTTCCTGACGTCTCTGTCATTGTGTGTGATGTAAAACCATTGGTTCCATTGTATTTCATCACCAAAGAGATTTGCCAGACTTCATAATTCCATCCAGTCCTGGGTTTACATCTTGCTTTTTTTACTCCAGGGAAACAGCACATTGTCCTGTTGTCCTTGTGTCGCTTGTGAATGTTCTATCCACTCTCCTTAATACTCAGTCAGCAATGGTGATTGCTTGCCTTTTTAGGATGGTTGAAGAACCTCTCTTGGCAGCTGATTACTTCATATCACAAGGACACCCATCAGGTATGTCGCCTATAGCATTGTGTTGTGCTCCTCCAAAGACAGGCTCCTCCGTAGTTGACTTGCTGAATGTCTGATAATGATTTGATGTCTTTAGCTGGGTTGAATGGCTCCTGGTTCTCTTTCACAGTCACAGAACACAGGTCTGCTTCTTTGGTGTAGACTCTCCCCTTCCCTTGTTGGTGATCGTTCACCTTGTGGCATGTGTGGCAACAATTTCTGAAGGTGATTGTCCAAGAAGTCTTTGTTTTCTTGCATACCGCACCATGTTTGAACTTGTGTTTCCACATCACGTTTTTTCTCCACCACTGTGGCCATCAGCTTACTTTTCAGACAGCAGAATTCTCTTCTTCTTCCTTGAAAAAGGAGAACATTGCACGTCTTTTCATCTTCCCAAACTCACAAGCCCTGATCCTGCAACTAGTCCATGATAGGCAGATGCCTGATGCCAGGCCAAGGCATACAGAGCCAGCTCCAGGATTGGGACTGCAGTTATCTTGCTAGATCCCCCTTGTTCAGTAAGCAGATGCTCATATATAGATGATACTCAGGGCATAAACAATATAAAACAATGAAGCTGTGAAATAAGTTATGAAAACAAACATAAATGGAAATTACTTGGAATAAATATATCTCATTATATTTGGAAACAGAATCAGAGACATTTGGGACAGCTAGTCCTTGCTTGTATTTTTTTTTAACAATTTATTTGAGATTTGTTTTTTTAGCTTTACAGGCATTTCTATTAAATGTGGGCATTGCGCCTGTGTAGCACTCACCAGAGAGAATGTCTCTCTTAGTCTCAATGCATTGTTTTGGGGGGTGCAAAGATTCTGTTTTAAACAGAACTGGATGGAATGCCAAGGCTAGGTTTTCCAGTGCCCAAAAAGGACATGGATCTGGTGGACAAGGTGTGGTTGCAGCAGCGGAGTGCCATAGAGTCATAGACGTTAAGGTCAGAAGGGACCATTATGATCGTCTAGTCTGACCTCCTGCACAGCGCAGGCCACAGAATCTCACCCACCCTCTCCTGTAGCAAACCTCTAACCTATGTCTGAGCTATTGAAGTCCTCAACTCATGGTTTAAAGACTTCAAGGTGCAGAGAATCCTCCAGCAAGTGACCCATGCCCCACGCTGTAGAGGACGGCAAGAAACCTCCAGGGCCTCTGCCAATCTGCCCTGGAGGAAAATTCCTTCCCGACCCCAAATATGGTGATCAGCTAAACCCTGAGCATGTGAGCAAGACTCACCAGCCAGACACCTAGGACAGAACTCTCTGTAGTAACTCAGATCCTACCCCATCTAACATCCCATCAAGCTCCTGGAAAGCACTGCCAGGTGGGGCTGGGGCAAGTTGGGTGAACTGTTTTTTTTGTTTATTTGTTTCTGTCAGAAAACGTAATCAAATGCTCCTGGTTGAAGCTGCACCCAGATCTGTGAGTGGAACTCTGAATGCATCTGATGAAGTGGGTTTTAGCTCACGAAAGCTTATGCTCAAATAAATTTGTTAGTCTCTAAGGTGCCACAAGTACTCCTTTCTTCATCCCCTAGAATGAGAAAGGGAGAGAATTATGTGATAGGTTCCGATAAATACATGAATAACCCTTTCAAATGTTAGTGGTTTCAGATATTTCTTATGTGGACACTGGAAGAGAAAGGCGGCGGGGGGGGGGGGGGGCGCTGTCTGAACAGTGCAACAGGGAAACCTGAGATAAGTGACAGTCCAAAATCAAATCAGTGTTCATGCCAACCACAAACTTCTTTCTTTCTTTCTTTCTTTCTTTCTTTCTTTCTTTCTTTCTTTCTTTCTTTCTTTCTCCTTAATACCTCAGAGAGAAATAACTCGGATGTCAGTATGATGCATTGGGGAGAAATAAACTCCATTGGCAGTGCACAACGTGCCAAAATATCGAATGTTAATTATACCCATGTGGCTAAATCTTTGTGCACCA